AAGATTTAATATGATGAAAATAAAAATTTTAAGCAAATCTCGTTTTATAACTATTTTATTTTTTATTTTTAAAATTTTAAATTTTTTTTTACTCACTCTACTTTTTTTTAAAAAAATATTCAAATTTTTAGCTAAATTTTAAAAACAAAGTTAAAATTTTGAATTTTTTTTTTATTTTTTTAATTTTTGACTCAAATTTTAAAAACATTTTTAAAAAGTATATTGAGAACCAAAAAATGTAGGGGTGAAAGTTGTATTTACCCGCTTACTTTTCAAAAAACATACATAAATAAAATGGTTATTAAACCGGACTTAAACTTTTAAAAATTACTTACTTTCTAAACATTTTAATTAATTCTCGTCAATCATTTTTACTTTTTAATTCATTTAACAAAACAGATAACACGGTATTATATATACGTATTAACATGTTGTGTGCATGTATTTAATCCACGTGGGTTGCCTGAGAAGTATTGGATAAGCGACAGAATAATTGCAAAAAAAAGCAAGATATTTTTTAATTATTAATTCAAGAATTAAAATAAATATTTTGAAGGAGATTTTATTTTGTAAAGTGGCCTTTAAATTTGTGGGAAAGACAATGAGATCCAGCTGTTTGAAACTGAAACCAAGAATAAAATAAAGAAATGCACCAACAAAAAGCCCCTAAATTCAAGGAAATTAAGAGCAAATAAATGTTGATGGCCATTCTTATCAAATTCACATAGAAAATTCAAAGTCCAGTTTTTAAATTTCATTCAAATTCCCCATTTGACTTGCAATACCCATTTTGTTTTTGACTTTGAAATCTCCTCTCCTTTTTTTCCACCCACATGTTTTCTTCAAATTTCTTACAACCAATTTATTGTGTTCCTATGCATTAAATTTCTCAAAACAAATATTTCATATAAATATATGTGTGTGTTTTTTAAATTTTTAAACGTTCTTTTAAATTGTGCATAAAAAATTTGTTAGTAATAACATTTATTTATTTATTTTTATTAATCATTTAGCAAAGATCTGATTCTATTTATAGTGGTTTCAAATGCTTGTTCATATATAATTTCCTAAATAGGTAGATGAACAAAAAAAAAAAAAGTGTCTATATCATCCTTCTAATAAATAAGTCATAAAATGTCGTCTTATAGTTTGATAGAAAAAGACGTTAATTTTTCATTTAATAAAATTTTGATTTTGTTTTAAAAATCGATATGCATGTTCTTCTAAGCTCTTTCTTTTTTAAGTTCGACAATGTGAGGATAAGAATTTGATCACCTGATCTTTTGATCGAGATTATAAAGCAAAAATTTAATCCTCTAACATTTTGATTGAGATTATAAATAAAAGTCTTAACTAATTGAGCAATCTGCATGAATTATACATTTATACATTTTTCCCTTTCCCTTAAAAACAAAGATTTAATATAAATAAAAGTCTTAACTAATTGAACAACAATTATTGAACAATTATAGCAAGACTACGAGAATTATACACTTTTTCCTTTTCCTTTTTTCGCCTTTTCGTGTGAGACTATTTTTTTTTTTTTGGTTAGAGAAAAAGCTTCTTTCCCATAAACTATTACACTCATGGACATCACATCAAACAAAACAGAAACTGCAAGCAACTTGTATGGATGAATAAAAGCAAGTCGCATCGAAGTGTTCTCATCAACAAAACAGAATAGAAAACGGGTCGAGCTGACCGACCTTAATCGCATGCTTAGAGTCAATATTGAATTTATCATGTAGCAAAATCATACAGATCGTGTACACATGACCAAGGAGGAAATCTTTGATTCTAATATTTTTAGTGACCATTCTGATAAACAAGACCACAACAATATCAATGAAAATACAACAACGTCGTCCCAGTGGCAGCAGCATCTGTGCATCAAAAACAGACCTCGAGGGAAGTTATGGTTTCTCCCATTTAGAATAATGCATATAATTTAATTTGTGTGACATGGAGTGTAAAAACATGCATAAAGTGTACAACACAATACTAGAAAATCCACCTAAATTCTTTGGCATTCTTTAAGTGAACGCTTTGTCTTTGCTTATATAACCCTGTCGTAGGCATGGTCTTGCATTATCCAGTATTTGATTGAATCATGCAGAGGCCAAAAACATTAGCAACAGAGACTTTGTTGATTCATTTGAGGTAGGGCCGATGCCGACCAATCTCAGAGAAGAGGCTGCAGGCAATTCTCATGACTGCTAAGAATGATACATAGATAGAATTATCATGCCGTGCCGTTATGAATCAGGCTCGCCATCGTCTTCCTGAACTGCAGCTGAGGTTGTCTCCGGAAAGAATTCTTCATGGGGATACATCTTCTGAAAGAGCTGTCAAGTACAAACACAAATAACAATTATAACATTGATGACAAACTTGACGGGTTCAGCATGTTTTTTTAGGGATGGGGGGAAAGAAAGCTTTTAGTAGAACAATAGCCTTGAAAAAAGGGAAAAATATAAAATATTAAAACAGGGAAGTATTGGAAAAATTAAAAATGACGTGTCCATTGAGAGTCTGTCAATTAGAAGCTGGATGTGGTTACTCAGGTTTCTAACAAAAGAAAAATTGTGTGCGAATGTATAAATTCCTTAGAGAACACTCGTAGGAGGTTTCACGGAAAGGAAAGTGAAATATGCAACTTAATTTCCACGTCAAAGCAACTGCATACCTCAAACGATGCACTCAAAAGGTTGTCGTAGTCCAGATTTCCATCAGGCATGGGAGTGAAGCTCACTGATCCAAATTGACCCTGAAAAGTTAACAAGAACACTTTACTTGTAGATTTACTAATTATAAACATAATCCAAATAATTCGGTTCTCTATTATTTAACATCGAATAGGACTATAGACAATTGGCCATTGAATTTCTTTCTTTATTTTTCCCAATGGAAACCATAAGTTCACTGACAACAAGAAAGGATATAAAGGTGCAAAGAGACAAAATAAAGAAGAGAAAAATGCACTCTCTCGCAGGAATTTACAATATAAGAAAGTGAATATCAATACAATTATAGCACACTGAACAAGATCCAACCGTTTCAGAGTCCTAGTCCATGAAGAAACCAACAAACTAAATACCACCCCAACATTAGCAAGATCATCAAATTTATCTTTGAAGGACTCTTCTATTGAACTTGCACCCCCATCACAAGAAAGAGAAATTTTTCAAAATACATCAGGAATCGAATGGCAAAAAATAAGGATGACATCTTCCATTCTGTTGGAACAACGTTAATAAATTTACCTAAAGCCTAAAAAACCACTTAGACAAGATCCAAAGGAGTAACCTTTCTTTGGTTCTTCCTCCAAATAGATGCATCCTCTGTGAGAGAGGAGAAGTATCTCAAAACGACATTTTATTACCGTCATTAGGCTTCCTCCAAGAACATGCTTTTCTACTATTTTGGATGTACTCTCCCTTTGAACTAAATTAAACGCGAGGATTTCAAGTGAGTATGAGATGATTTTGGGACTAGTTCTTTTAAGTGAAGTGCTTTAAAGTTTTTTTTTTTTTAATTTCTAGTATCACCATGTAGTAAATACGATGAAAATGTTGAAAAGCGTTTCTAATGGGTTAAAAAGCACATCTCACTGTTCCAAAGTTATACCAAACTAACTCAACCTTCCATGAGCTAGCCCCCTTGGCCTCTCTTGACTTCACCACATCTTAAATCAAATCATTTTTTTAAGAGAGAGGAAAATGATGCAGTGATTTATAAGGATAATCATGTAATTTTCTTCCATAACATTGTTTTTTTAGTTGCATTCGTTAATTACTTTTAGTGGTTGTTGACTGGTCTGTCTTAGTGAAGTAGTTTCTGTTTCAGTAGTTCGTTAGGGTTATTGTTATTTTTATTTAGCTGGCTGGTTGTTTAGTAGGCAACCCCTATGTAATGGGGGTTAGGCTTTTCTAAATAGAATTTAAAATGAACAAAAAATTTCTTTTATTAGTCTTGAGAGATTTACATGCTAGGCTGGATAGCTTGGTTTGGGTGGTATTAACACTAATGATAAAGTCCAAAGAAGCTCTCCCTTCCGCCAGTTAGGTGTTCTACGTGTTTGCAAGGACCAAGATCAGCTCTTCCTTCACGGTTCTACTGGGCAAACTTTATGGCTTAACCTTCTGAACTTGTTTAACTTTTCTTTGCCAATGCCTAGAAGAGAGAAATTGGATTTTGTTGGTTTTTGACGACACAATCATGGAGGTAAAGCTAAGTTCTTACAGGTTAGAAGCTTCCATAATCACTTTTCGAGAGTTATGACTAGAGGTCAACAAAATGTTGATAGTCTTATCTTCTTCTTTTTTGTTCTTTAAAGTTTGTAATTACTCTCTAACTTCTTAACTTCTTTGTTTTTCGGTTATTAATATTCTTTGTACTTTTCTCTTGTCAACAAAATCGTTTATTACTTAAAAGAAGGTGTTAATCGGGAAAAAGTAGGAAGGACACATACTTCTATTTTACATGGGTGGAACCAATCATTATGATGATATGATCAAGAAGCAAAAGACCAGTTATATCTCACCATACTTAATTCCTGAATGTATAGCGCGCTCCAAAGTAAAGCAGAATCTTTATCATCTGCATTAATATTCTGATCTATATCATCAGGTCGTTCACGGACAATGAGTGACATGATTGCAGCTATAGCTGCACGGAGTGTCTCTTTTCCTTGATTAGCATTACCACATAAGGTAGAGATGTATATGACAAACCTACACAAGAAGGAAATACTGTCAAACAGGTGCAATTGGTATTGACTGCATTAGTTAGACACCATACCATTGCTTGCAAAACAATAAAAAAATATGAAAACAAAACTCGTTAATGTTTCAAAATAAGTATATTTATAAGCCACAATATTTTTTAGATAAGAAATAAGTCATTAAAAATTGAGATGTTCCTTCTAACAAAAACGATTGCAATAAATAAATGTTGTGAGAAAATAACCCTGCTTCTCATCAAAACCTTTACTTTCATTTTGCTAGAGATGAAGAGGAATGGCAATGGGTTAATAGAAGGGTAAAAACATATGCACTCCTGTCCTGTAAGTTCGCTTAATTATATACAGCACAGCTAGATATGGAAAAAACAAAAAAATTTAGGTTAAATTACATATTTCTAATATAATCTTTAAACTTTAAAAATTTTCAATTGTCCTAGAATTATACTCATCTTTAGTCCCAGTCAATAATAACAATTGATGGGATGCAAGACAAACACTTATCTTTTTTGAAGTCTAGACTTCTAACTTCTAAGAGAAACCATACCTTCATAAGGTAAATGAAAGAATATACACAGACATGATGATGATGGTGATGATATATTTTTTTTTAAATCATCACAAAGAGTCAAACCAAGCTTGACACTCCTGTTGTAAAATTTGAATGAGTTGACATGATCTACCAGCCAGTTGGGTGAATTAAATATGAATTGACAGGTAATCAGGGTCAATTTATTTGGGAGATTGTTTGCACGGGTAATTGGGTCTGGCAATAACCTAGATTCAATCTCCCAAATTTGTTTAACTAATTACGGATCACACTACCTGATCCAAATTTCAAGAATGACTATCAGACTTGCATTCCACCAACTAACGTTATCAGTAAAAACTAAAGATAAACAGAATTTCAAGTTTAAAAACGTAATTGAAAATTTTCAAAGTTCAAGAACTTGATATTAGTCAACGTGGCATCTCTATCCATTTAGGTTTGTGAGACCAAGAAAATTTAAAATGACAGGGCAAAAGAATTTTGAAAGGAGTCTCCTAATAGAGGTATGAAATGAATACTATAATTGCAGTCTGTCCATGCCAGCCATTTAGCCCACTACGTTGGTATTGAGCATCTACCAGCTCTATTTTGCCATCACTTTGAGGATGTAAGCCAATGAAGCTGAATTACCAGAAGATTAAACAATTCTATCAAAAAAATACAAGTAAAATTTGTCTAATATCCAAGTCTAACTATTTTTTTACAATCTAAAAAGTCTAATTATCTTTTCACGTTAATCGGGGTTCAAAATTGAAGACTGCCCACCTAAAAGGATAATATTTGATAGTCAGTAAAGCTTTTCACCATTAGGCCTAATCAAAGGGGTTAGTACTAAAACATATTCAAACAGCAGCACCCATCTGACTATGAGTTCTGTTAGTCGTTCACAAAGACTAGAGATGGCCACAATGCACATACCTCAAGCATTTTTAGAAAATGCGGTAGTCATTTCATTAAACAAAACAAGTGTATCAATTAAGAATAGATCAAATGAAAGAGGATAAGAAAAAATAGAAGACAACATTTAAGTTATTTACAAGACTGAACTGAACTCACATATCCTCGGGACAAACTGCTAAATTGCCACCTATCTGGAGAACTCGAACTGATGAAACTTGCTCGGGAAATAGAGCTATGGTGGAAGAAGGAAAATTGTTAATTCCCTCTTGCTAGATGTTTTGATAACATACTGAGATAGAAAGTAAGGAGTGCTTACTTCTAGGAGGATAAACCAACAGAGAATTCTTGACATCTAATACCAAGGAATGCTTTGTAATGCATATTCCTCTGGCCACCTTGCTATTAACATCTCTCAAGCTAACACCTTGAAGACTTTCTAGAGAGAATGTTAACGGTGGGGGAACCATGAAGCATGGATCCAGCACCAACTGGTGACTAAAGATGTCCTGTCCAGAAGCCAGCCGAACACCCTTATAATTTTCACTAATCTGCAAATATTTCAAGATGTAATATATCAATCCATTTTCACCTCAATGTCTGAGTTGTTGAGTTCATTCCAAGTAGTATCCACAAGAAAAAGAAAAAACATACTATTATAATTCYAAACCTTGTCCTTTAATAGAGCAACCACAGGCATTCGCAGAACCTGTACAAAGAAAAGATGTAGGTAAGAGAACAAGTTCGATTTAATCATGGAAATGAAAAACAAAGGTTAGTTGTACAACCAAATTGATATGAAGATATGTAATGCTGCTAAACAAACGACTCGACTGCATTTCATGAAAGAAAGACATTGTGTTGGGAGGAGGGAGGTTACATGTTAATAGAACTTACATAAAGACAACCTTTGACTGCAGCACGACGACAAAATGCTTGAGAAAGCTCCCCTTGACCATAGATAGGATATAATAGGGCCCCATGTGCATTTTGAAACCTAGCAGGAATTAGCAGAGTAAAGACAAAATTTGTACGAGAAATGCTATTCCATAAATTGCAAAATTAAGGACAAGCAGCATAAAAATGTCCGAAAAAAATTGTAAATTATAATATACTACTTTCTAATTACAAAAGAATCATGCTGGAGCTTATGTCAATGGAATCGTTCGATGTCATAATTAATAAAATTAGCCAAATTAGGGAGCTTTTCATTTGGCTATGTGTCAAATGATTATCTAATATATTTAAATTCTGTTGTGTTTCTGCGTGCGCTCGTGTACATTCTTTAGAAACATACAATTGAAAGGTCCGCCACCATAAATTAATCCTACGTGAACTTTCAAAAATGACAAACAAACAAACAAATAAATAAATAATCGAACACCAATTGAACTGAAATGACAATAAATATCATAATAACCTGCCAATTGAAGTGTGGTAGAGAGCTAAGCGGCCGATTCCTTCTTTCGTAAGTATTCTGTTCTTGCCAACTTCAGTGTCGTTCTGATCGTAATCTGCCAATGAAATGCCATACAGAATCATTCTGCATGATGGAGCAGGAGGATCGTGAGCAACAGGAAATCATACAAGTAGTAAGTTAACGAGCCTAGTTGAAATCTGAATGCATTAATATGACAGTAGTAAACAATCAAAACCAATTGACTTACGACTTCATCTTCTGGGGCAACCGCAATTTTTTCAAGAACTCCACAAAAGGACTCTCCAAATCCTCGTTGGAGATTTTGGAATTTTGATTATCTGCAGCGGGATCCAAGTGCTGCTGAACAAGTTTGAAGAATCTCATCAACTGGTTCTTCTCCGTCAGACTCAGACTCTTATCCTTAAATATAGCTGCACGAGAACCAGGCACGTTAGCCAAATTGCCATTCTCATCGCACAAATAGCTCGCATCAATGCTCTTAAATTCCAAATACTGGTTGACTCCCGCTTTCAGAACAGCGTCGATGCACTTGTCGGCACAAAATAAAACCCTTGGCCCAGCCAAATCAACATTGAACTTTCTGGAATGCTCTTGAAGAACTACAGGTGCTCGGGAGGAGATTTCGACGTCCGAGTACAGAGACCTAGTTTGAAGATCAACACAGACATAATCAAGAGCGTCGTCGGAAGATGAGGGTGGCGATGGCGGTAAAGGGTGAGAGACAGAATTGAGGAAGGAGGCAAGGTCGTGGAGAGGGAGAGAGGCGAAGTGACCTCCGTAGTATGGATTGGGGTCAAGGTGCAGCACCGTTTTACCGGCGGCGGANGGCGGCGGAGGCAGCGGCGGAGATGATGGATTCAGCCAAACCTGTGCCGACGGCGATTAGGTCAAAGGTGGAGGGGTCGATCAGAGGGTCTGGAGAGAGATCGCTCATGATCGGAAGGAATTGGAGCAGCAAAACAAGGATTCCCACCGTCTCCTCCAACGGCGCTGCCTCCGAAACAATCTCCAAATGGGTTGTCTTCTTCTTCCTCCTTCAGCCCACAGCCAAGAACTGCGAGACCACGGGACCCGACCAGTTTCTAATGGTCGGTGAGGTTATAAAAGTTTAATCCAGAATTTAAATAAATAAATAAAATAATGTATAATTTTGATTTTCACATCAATTCAATATGTAATTTTAAAAATACTGCCATTCTTATTTTGTTCTAGCATACTTTGCGGTTACATTTGAGTTTGTTTGTGATTTAAATTATACTATTTTTTTTTAGATCTTTTAAATTTGAAAAAATATACTTATTTTATATTACCTATACAGGTGGGAAATCGAACTCACAGGATATATGTCGATTATCATTGAACCATGCTCGTTTTGACAAAAATGCTTTAAATTAATAATAGTAATAATGGCAATTAGTTCCATAAGTTGTTCAACTTAAACTAATAAAAATGGAAATTAGTTTAGTTCTAACTATTTACCATATAAATAAAAAAATGTTAAATTAAAAGTCTTGATTTTAAAATTTTTTTAGTACTAAGTTGGTTTTTTTAGTACAACAAGTTGGGAATCTGGAGTATGGAAGATTGTACTTGATAAAGCACCAACCTATCAAGGTGGAAGTCGTGGGTTCAACGCCAGATCAAAATCCAATAAAAAAATACATAAATTCTTATCTCTATTTTATGTGAAGATGAGTACAAATAGCATAATTTCATTCCAAATGGGGATCCTATTATTATAGATTTTGTTCATTTTTCATTTCACATTTCCCATCAAACAAATATGAAAATTTTCATTTGTTCAAGTACCAATGAATGAGAAAAGAACATATGGTACAATTATTTAGGTATCAATTACTAATGAACATTGAACCATGTTCATGTTAATAATGTTACATTTATAAATTTTTAACCAATTAAATATTTGTTAAAGTTAAATTTTATGTCTCAATCGTGTGGGATGAAACTATAGGAGAAATATTGGTGAATAAGCTTAATTTATAAACGTCAAATCTAAAGAGCCTAAACTATAAATATAGGCGCACCAAGGATGTACCATTAATATCTAAATGTTGCCTTTGCATTAGATATTTAATGCACGCTAATTTACTAAAAACCACTTCTGCACTTAATATTATACTTGGCCAATTCTAAAAACGACAAACTTATAGGATGAAACTATACTGAGTATATTTTCTAATAATATACAAACACGTTACATTATATCAAATTAGCTACTTATACAATGTTTAATATAAAAGCATGTTCAATTTACTAACTCCTATTTACATTAAATTAATATAGAAAGATTTCTAAAAATAAACCATGCCATAAGACAGCATCTTACGTATAAAAATATTTCCAACCCTACCCAAAGGAAGGAAAGAAAAAAAGAATGACCCTTAACTTATGAACAAGCAATCAAGCTATATAAAGGATATATTAATTCTATATATAAATAACAAAAAATAAATTATGCCTAAGAGCAAGAGTTCACCAACAAGGGGGAAAAAAAGGAAAGGGAAAGGGAAAACATTTGCAGGCAAAAGAAGAAGAAAAAAGAAGGAAAAAAAAAAAAAAACAATAGCAATGCTGAACCCCATATTTGAATATAAGAGGAAAAAGTGGTGGGGCTGTAAAAACTTCTCCAGCCTCCCCTCACCGAAGTTCAGGAAAATATTGGTTGCCAAATATTTTACACAGCATCATGCGATGTATCATCTACATCACATTTACCTTCAATGATTCTTCACGGGACGACTTGACATACATATTTGCTAACCCTTGTGGACAGTATCAACCAAGGTATAACTCCAACCTGCAGTTCATTACAAAACATACTATGAACCATCATGAATCATGATCGTATTCTCATCCTGTGCAAGGTAATATTGTAACTATAGATACTATTTTAATGTAATTATAGCAGGATCACGTCAAGGAAGGGAG